AACATCTGCATTTTATGTATGACTTTATTTAGGTGTTCTTCATTTAGCATTCAGCAATATTTGTTCTTGGAATGCACCTCTTGGAATCTTCTTTGACGTAATGTTTTTTGTAGAAATAGGTGTTACAACAAATGAAATCAAAAGACTAAAGATAAACTTTTATAATATAACTGTGGATACTTTAGTTACCTCAAACAACCACATTAATATTGGTTTTGGTTGTGCTTGTTTGCAAAATAGTGCTATGTAAACAAAGCCGATATGATACAAAATATATCCATTCAGATTTTTAGAATGGATTTTTAAGCAAGCGTTTTATTTCACATAAAACTTTATAAATTTAGATTATATGTTTTATATACTACATTTCAAAACAGTTTCTTCTTGTGGAGTGTTTGATTGCTTACTAAAAACCACTATCAGACCACCTCAGACCTGCTTCAAATTTTGACCACCCAAAGGTTTTATGAAAAAAAAAACAATCCTGAAAATTTCAGCTTAATTGGCTAAATTGAACAAAAGTTATGATCGAATCAATATTTACCAAAATTAGAAAAATTTTAGTATCTGGAGCTAACAGTAGATTTTTTTGATTTTTGACAGACCATAACTTCATAAATAAAATAGGTCAATCTGAATATTTGTACAGTAATAGTTTTTCACTTAAATTATCTACTTTTGAATTATTGTACCCCAAACCCTAAAGTCACTAAAAATTGTAATATAATAAAAAAAATTGGTAACTTTAATATGCTATAGTTTAATACCTACAGATAGGCAGTGCAAATATTTTGTTACTTTAGTGTACATAGGGTAACCACCTGTGGTAAAAAGCAAAATTATGCATTAAAAGTTGGTTAAACACTTGCAACAGCCTGTTAAAATATTAATTTTTTTGAAAAATTTGATAAACTACATTGAAGGCATAGAAAATAGTTTAAACAGTTGAAATAAACTATGAAACTTTTTACTGTAGAAGTTCTATATATAGGCAATCACCAAAAAAAAATTAAAGACCTATACACTATCACATGACATGACTAAAGACCTATACACTATCACATGACATGACTGTAGCACTATGATTTAGGTGTTTACTTTTAACTTTTTTCTGAATAAATATACTCAGTTTTTCCCTTAAATGATGTAATCAGTGTCTTAATTCAATTTATTTGATATGATTTTGGAATATGTATTTAATTCTATGCATATCATTTACAAATAAATATAATTTGAGTGTAAAGAACTTCAATTGCATTAAGAGTTTGTTCTAAAATTAAAATCTAAAGTTTTAAGATATATATTTTGATATATATATATATATATTTTTTTTTTTTAATTATCTTCGCTTCCAACAAGGCTGCAAGCAACCACTAATTAGTGCTGGAAGTTACTGGAAGATAAATATAAATATATATATATATATATATATATATATATATATATATATATATATATATATATATATATATATATATATATATATATATATATATATATATATATATATTTATTATAATATCTATATATTAGAAATATCAAAAATATATATATTGAAAGTACTCAAAAATGTACTTTCAAGTAAAATAATACTTATATCAAAATGATAAATCCTATTGAAATTATTATAAAACAGTTGTTAGAAAATGCGCATTTGACCGCAAGCCACGCTAGATTTAAATAGTTTTATGCATGTTTTTTAAAAATTATTAGTTTGGATTTATAAACTGAAATTTTTAATAAAAAATACTTGTATTGTAACATAAAAATTCTCCCTCCCCCCTCCTTTTATTAACTCCCCCCCCCCCCCCACTCCTTCCCCTGTTTATTAGATCTTGACTAAAACTCCCCCCTTCCTTGTATTAAGGACCCGAAAGTAAGTAAATGCAATAAATTAGGACATCAAAACGTTAAAAAACTGGATACAAGTATGACGAACCTAGTAGCATCATGAGACTTACTTAGAAAATGTGTTTGAAAAATAATAATTTAGATTTTGATAATCAGATCAAATACAAACTATGGAAAATAACTGACCAAACTGCACTTGTCAAAATCCAAGCAAACATTATTGAGTTTATCGAAACTCTAGATGAAACTTTGTATGATCTTTGACACCATTACTTTATTAAAGAAGCACAATCTTCATACTTATCAGAGGCAAAGATCACATTAAATCAACACACCTTTCTTAATTTTATGGATTTTGCAGAGAACTATATTTTATTGTGCAAGATGCTGTACAAGGATTTTACCGGCAAGCTGATCAAGCTACCCTACATCCATTTGCTTATCTAATGCAACAATCAAAAAAATCAACTCAAATGTGAATGTTGTTGTATAATTTAACCATTTTGCCATGAAGAAACATAATTTTATTGTTTTCTCACAAAATTACTCCCTATGGTCAAAATCAAATTACCCACTATCAATAATGTGAAATACTTCAGTGGTTGTGCTGTGTAACAGGTGTAAAAATTACAAATGTCTGTTAAACTAAATGTACCATCTTGAAGATCATAGTATATATGCTGAGCATCACTTCTTTACTATGTTCCATGGCAAAAACTTATGCGATGGAATA